AACCTTGAAACTGCATATTTGGATTTAATTAATATAAATTCATCTTAAAATAGTTTATATTTCAGATGCTTGGTGATAAATTCAATGTGCAATTTCTCATGTATCTTAGATATAGATTGAATTATTACATGGAAATAAAAGAAATCTCACCCTTAACATTACAATATTACAATACTGACCATAATACAATAAATGTAAATGCAAGCTATTATTTTAGTGTAACAATGATAATTAAGTAACTGGTACACAGGGGTATGCATCTACAAAGGGAATTTAAGAATGGGTTCTAGGGTAACTCTGTTTAGGCATTTATTTAAAAAATACAAAACAATTAATATATACCTCACAATAAATGTCAGACTTTACAGCGCATAGGAGTCTTCTCTAAAGAAAAGCTGTGCATTACAATTAAATCACATATCTAAATTCCAGAGTTTACTAACCCAGCTTTTCAAGGATTAGCAGAGCATTAATATTCAGTATGGTTTGCTGGAAATTTATTTCAGGTTCTTTTGTAACATACTATAATTATCATTATTTTGACTTGACATGCATAAAAATGTGGTTAACATTTAAATGCTTTTTTAGTGTAGAGAATTATAAATTAACTACTAAATTTAAATCTTTAACCTATATCACTTGGGGAATGTTAAATCTTTTAAAAGGAACTAATCACTGTGCTTAAATAATATCCTGTACTACAATTCCTTTACTTAAAATTTGGTTTAAGATTGTTCATTCAAGGAAAAACCCCTTGCTTTATGTTTACAGTAAACCTCAGACTGAAATTACCATCTAAATGCCAACATCAGTAACAGAAGCAGTACTTGAAAACCACCTATTTCATCCTTTGCTGCTGGCTAAGTGGAATTTACCAAAAGTCCCCAAAGGTGATAGTGCAATTAAATAAAATGCATGTTTTTAAAGCAGTTGTTTTAAAGGAACAAAGAAAGAATACTACCATTTGAACCGATTAAAAACTATACTTAAGAAAACAGCACAACAAGTGTATGGGCATAATGTTCATGACATACGTTCACCCAGTTTTACATGCTGTTACCTACACTTGCACTGTGTGTAAATGGATAGCATATAAACCTCTAGATAAAAGGTGAGTTAATCTTAAATATAAAACATTAAAATTATTTAACTGTTTGTATATTGTTGGAATTATATACTGATTTGATGTGTACTCAGACAGAAGGCAATAGAAAATTATACTTTGTAGTGCTATAAACTTAAAAGAGTAAACATACAAAGACTACATTAATATTTGAAATATGGGTTCCTTAGATATGCTATGTCCCTTATAATTGAACATGGCTAGAAATAATTTGTTGGATCCAAGCCAATCTGCCATTTAAAACACACTATGTGCAAAGGTCAAAACACAAGTCACACACACTCTACATTGTGTAGAGTGACCATTTTGCTTTTTTTCTCTCTAGGATTAAGCAAATAACCATGATTAAAATTTATTTTGATTACAGCTATTCATGATGTTAACACATAACCAGAAGGCAAACAAATCTAATGTATTTTAAATAGATAAACATGAGCAATATTAACCTACATATTGAATGTCAGTAGGGTATTGTAATTCTCCATATTTTCAATTACATATGTTTAACTGTACCTCATATCCTTTTGCACATAGGTAAAGATGAAATCCCTTTAAACACGGGCTCAATTAGAAAATAAAGCAAAACATGCTAGGAAAGACTTGCCTTCTATAAAAATGTCAACCTCCCCATCCCAAAACCTTAGCTCCCAGCTTCAATTAATAGTTTTCAGTATAGCATCAATGATAAATGTATTTCTTCATTTTTTTCTACTAGTCTTCAAATATTAATCTCTGAGAAATCTTTTGAATATTGCACCTGATTTAATTGTTCATATTTCTCTGTCACTGAAACATCAGGGGCTCTGCTTTTACTCCTCAAGCACAAGATGCATTTTTGTGTTTTTCTTCAAGACGTTTTGTAAGATGTAAAGCACATACTCTAACCATTAATATTTAAATGTTTACAATAAACTGTTAACTGGTGATAAAAGTGCAAGTTGAGTATTTCTTATATTCTGTCAAAGAATCTGGGGTGCAGCACAATACTACATTTAATACATTAATTTATTTAACGTTTTCTTTAGGAATATTTTAAATATTTTTTAAACAATGGCCAATTTGCAAGTACAATTCACATTCAAACATTTCCTAAACAATTTGAGCTATCATCTAAAATGTAAGGAATACAAAATATGTATAATCCTGTATTGTACCCCTTTCTCATAATTTTACTTTGTTAAATTCCATTATTTTATAGATATTTTAAAAGAAAACAATTGTATCTACTCCTTGCCCACATTATTCATTCATACTCATTGAATTATATTTCCTTCTAATTGTTTTAATCCCATATATATCACTATAAGAAGGACTGGCTCCTTTTTCTAAAATAATATTGGCCTTCTGGATCATGTCAGTGCTTATTAAATACTACAATCATAAAACATATATGGTACAAGATTTGACTTTCTGATTCCATAGCTGTTACAAGCATAGCACTTGCCATATTTATTTTGTGGTAATGCATTTCTTTTCCTACTTTGCATTTCAAAGGTCTCCTCCAAATGATTTTTTAACAGAGCTATCAAGAGGTTATCTAAATTTTGCCATCAAATATTAGAGGCTAGCATAAGGTAGTCATCATGGAGTCTCCTTCAGTATATTCATTCCATCAAAAGAAGTAACCTACAGTCCATTAGAAATAAAGCAAATGTTTTATTAAATAATTCAGTGCATTAAGACTTGTCTGCTTTTCTAGGGAAGCAAAGTTTCAGATTGATCAGTGCTGAGTTGGCATCTGTTAGGCATAAAATATATTTTTATTTGAAATATGTGAAATAGTTTTAAAAAGATAGTCTGGATACTTTGATGAAATTATGACAGTTGTTACAATCTGATTATCTTTTGTGATACCTTTCAGTTGTATGAAGGGACAAATCCTGAACTAACAAATATTACATGGAGAAAGATCTAAGAATTGCAACAGATATTTTCAGAGAAGAAATTTCAAAATAAATATGTTGATAGCCTTATCAAGAAAGTCTTTTGAAATTGTTGATAAACTGCTTCTAATTTTTAGTTGCAGTGTGTTTAACAGGCATGACTATTTTATCCCTCAAACCATAGTAAAATTTGCTATAGATATTTGTGTTTTGATAGGGGATATATTTTCCAATGTTACCTGCCAGGGGAACCTAGGAGAGATTTGTTCTTATACTGTGATTTTATTCTTGTCAGGGTTAACAAAATCATTGAGAATGCCTTTTAAATTAGATGTCATCTTCCTGACAGGAATGAAGAGGGGCTAGAACATTGTTTCTATCAGCTTCAAATAATTTGTGGGTTTTAGAACATAAGGATATTAATTGCTTTATTCCCATACAAAATAATTGCTGTGCACCTGCAATTTCCGAAGGATTTTACAATCCCAAAATGCAATAAAAGTAGTCTTACAAGTAGGTTGTGCATTGTGAAGAGTTCTACCTTTTAATTCTCATTCTAGCTTGAGATGTTTTGTCGTTGTTGCTGTTTTGTTTCTTTGGGATGGGACTCATGGGTAATTTTACACAAACTGATATATATTACCTTCCAAATCTTGTGTGGGTTCATCATCTTAAGAACAAAACCCGGAGCTCCCAGGGCCAACGCCATATGTTCTTATGAAGGAATTTCAGAATGTCAGAGACTCAAATGTTAATTCAGTCTGTTATGTTAATCAAAACGTTTGACTAGGCCCTGTCTATGTGGGAAACAACTCTCCCCACTCCCTTCCCTCTCTCTCCCTCCAATTTTCTCTTCCTCCAGCTAAATCATTTCACTTAAAACTTTCAAGGAGAGAGCGAGCAACCTTGACCTCACACATCCTTGCAGACTCCGAGGTCTCTAGAGGGCTGCAATGGGGCACCCCCTCCCCCCTCTCTCCCACCCACGTCACAGCTCCTCACACGCCCGCACACATGTGCCGAGGGCTGCTCGTTTGTCACTGAGCCGGGGACAAAACGCGGCCGAGCGCAGAGCGTCCAGCCAGGTAGCGCTGCCAGCGCTGCCACGAGGCCGCCTGGTGCGCACAGCCTCGCTCGCCGCCCCTTCTAGCGCATCCCTGCCCGTCCGGCCTCCAAGTCAGACCAAAGGAAACGCAACCGGGCGAGCGAGGGAGCAACCTTGGGCGCGGCGGCGTTACCTGCTCACAATGGAGGGCTGAGCGCCGGGGACTTCCCGGCTTTATTTTTGCACGCCCAGCAGAGCAGCGCCGGGCTTGTAGTGCGATCGGCCCCCCGCCCCTTGCTCGGGAGGCCGCGTGCTGCCAGCTTGGGTCCCGGGCGGGGCCGCTCGCGCTGGGCTTTCCTCTTGGGGCGGTGCGGGGCGAGGCCCGGAGCCTGCCCGGGTGGGGAAGGGGGGGAATGATGTGCGAGGCATCTCCGCTCCCCCGCGGCCATGGCCCAGTCACATGGGTGTCGCGCGGCCCTGGCTGCACAGCTCGGGGAGGGAGCGCCGCCCGCCGGGCCGGGCCGGGCCGGGCCGGGGGCCGCACACTCAGTCCAAGTGGGACGGGTCGTGGGGGCGGCGCTGGTCGC